ATCCTCTCACCCTCCGCATCTCTGCCCTGTACCCCAGTTCTGTATGAATAAATAAATCTTAAAAAAAAATAATACCCATATATTTTAGTTACACCAATTCTTCCCCTAGAGGAAAGTGCTATCAATCAATATTTACAAGTATGTACTACATACTTGTAAATATTGATATGTACTACAAGTATAGTACATATCGATAAACATTGTAAATTAGTATGTCTTTTACAAATATGGATATACACAATCACATCCAAACATTCACACACATAAATAAAAATATGCAAGGAATTTTACACTGTTTTAAAATAAAGTGATTTCTTTAAAAGATTTATTTATTTATGCATAGGAGAACTGGAGTGTAGGTCAGAGGTTCAGGGGGGTGAGAGGATTCACCAGAGACAGAGTGGGAAGCAGAACAGGCAGATCTACTGAAATACACAGCTGTGGGGAGCAGTGGGAGAGACAGGAGAGGTCTGCCGCACCATGTGGGGGTCAGCTCCCTGGTGAGGAATAGGGGGTGGAATTCTTGTTGCAGTACTGGAGATAGCCTGATAGATAGCACTGTGAATGTAACCCCTGCACCACCAGGGAGGCCCAAGTGGATCATTTTATACACATGTAAATTATCTTTCTAGAGTCAGATTTACTCATGGAAGTCCTACTAATTCATCAAGTATAGTTCTAAATCATCATTTGAGTGGTTGTATAGTATTTCAGGACACAGATAAAAAAATATTCCATTACTGATTTTATTCACTAACTTCCCAATCATCCTGCCAATGCAGAAAATTTTGACAATAGTGAGTCCATATTTTGATTACAATGTCCTAGAAATTATTTAAAATGCTTTGCACAGATGATCTTTTTTAAATTATGGAAACAAACTTATGAATTAATTATTCCCATGTTACTGTCAAATTAAATAACTTGTTAATAGTCACATATCTGATGAATAACAGAGTTGTGATTTGAACTGACTCTTGTCTTTAACTTATGGCCTACAGTATAATATTATTAGCTTCACTATATTTGTTCTGAGTATGTGAGCATCTAGGTGTTGTTTGCTTATTGCAGTGGTGTAGTGAGCTCATTCGTTTTTATTCTTTTGGCATAGATTCACAGAAGTGGGATGCTGTGAGAGAAGGGAGAGAAGGAAGACAGGAAGAAAAAGAAGAGCAGATAAGAGGAAAGAGTGGATGATGACAATGGTTTCCCAGGTAAGTTAAAACTATAATTTCACTAGCAAGGTGAAATTTAAGTAAAATGGTTTTAAATTTGAGTAAAATACGCTTGCCTCCTTAATTCCCACCAGCATTAGTAATTTCATTATGTCCCCCAAGTTTGATGAGTAGATAGTGATATTGCATGGTTACTTTAATTTGCATTTCTTTGTTCAGGTGAATTTGAGGCTTTTTCTATAAGGTTATATCTTTTGGATTTATTCTTTGTTAATTGAATATTCATACCCAGTCTCCATCATTCCCTTAGTCTTTCCTCAAAAAATGTATAAGAATTATTTCTGTGTGCCTAATAAAATTCTGTAGTATGCAAAGCACATTGTTACCAAAGTAATTACTCATGTATTAATTTTGTGTATTTTTTTGGCTTATGCTATTTTACAATTATTTTTATATTGAGTCAAGCAATTCCTTTTACTATTATAAGTTCCTGCTTTCTCATATTGTTTGATATGGTTGCTCTTGCCCCTAAATTTTAGATATAGTCATGTAGACTTTTTTGGTAAAACTTTATATTTTTAATTTAAATATTGCATTTATTTCTTATGTAAATATTTTACTTAAATATTTAAGCTCAGTTTTAAATATGGTATAAAGTATGACTATTTTAAAATACTTCTACACACAGATTTATGATGAAGCTTCTATCAAATGAAACATCTTTCACTTTAAACTAGACACTGTATTTCTTATGTCAGTTTCTTATAAGTATAGGGGAATACTTCTTAATTCCTTCTTTTATTAACTATTTTATTTCTTCCTGCTGTTGATTTTTTCATTTAAC